AAAATTGTTTCGATACCGTTTTTGTGATTTCGATAATATCAAAATATTTCGATGCAAATTATAGAGATTCGAAAGTAAAGTATTGCTTCGATGCCATTTTTAAAATTTCGATAGCGTAAAAATTTATCGAAGTGATAAAATGTTTCGCTGCCATTTATAGAATTTCGATAATATAAAAATATTTCGATACAAATTAAAGAGTTTCGTAAGTGAAAAATTGTTTCGGTAAATTTTCGATAACGCAAATATATTTTGATACAATTTTCATAGTTTCAAAAACAAAAAATAATTTTGGAGCTATTTTTAGGATATCGACAATTCAAAAATGTATCGATAATTAAAATTTTAAAAACAATTTTAAAATGTATCGAATAACTTGAATTTCGTAAAGCGAAATTCATTTCGGTTCAAAATAAATAATTAGAAATCGTTTCAAACTTACCGAAACAAAAAAAGAGTTTTGATAAGGATTTTTTAAATCGAAAAATCAACTTTTGCATAAGTGAACAACCCTACAAAATATCTTGAAGAAAAAAAATTCTTTTATTTTGGCTTTAATTTTTTGCTTAAAATTATGCAAATAATCTTCCTTTTTTTTTTGCCGTTCGATAATTTGCCTGTTTGAAAGTTTGCCGTTTGAAAAATTTACAATAAATACAAACCGACGTCGAACTCGGAACTACTCGATTGAGGCAAGCGCTCTACCAATACACTACTTCTGCACTTCCGTAGAATAACAACCTAGACGGGTGTTGTTCGACAACTTTAGCGGTGTTATGTATATGGTACAATAATTATAAAAAGGGACCTAAACATATTTCATACTATGTGAATGTTTTAAATAAAACTGACATTAAAGAAACAACACACTTCATGTAAAAACTTTATTTCGAAAACAAGATCAAAATATCCTTACACAATATAATTAACAAAATAAAATAACATGGTAACTAAGTCCTTTTGAAAAAAACTTGGTTGAAACTTGGATTTTTTCGGAAGAAAAAAGATTTTTCCACATGGAATTACAAATCTATATAGTATAACATAAGCAGTATCATAAAACTACAATGAATAAAGAAAATTATCAATAACAACTAACAAATGTGAAACAAAATCAGTACGATTTTTTAACATTTATCATTTGCATAATACTGTAAAATCTCCTGAATTAAAACAACTAAAAATGCGCAAAAAACCCAAATATTTTAGAAAACTGATTTATAAGCAAACTTTGAGCTCTTTTAATCAAGGTATCATCAACTATTCCACATATTTAAGTCGTTTCATGTTTTTTTAAGTTTTTTAAGCGGATGGTAATTAATTAAGACATTTCAAGTGGGTATTCTAAATATTATTTAGACAGCTATCACCCTCCCCCTCCTCCATCAATGATTTTTAGTCGGCAAATTCGACCCTTAGTCGGCAATTTTGACCCTTTTTGACTAGTTAGTCGGCAAATTTCGACCCTTTCGATATAGGTTAGTCGGTAATTTACACAGTTAGTCGGCAAATGTCGTCATGGCAGTCGGCAAATTTTCGAAAACGATGACTTTTTTTTTTTTTAGTCGGCAGAAGTTGTAACAAGACCCCCCCCCCCCCCCACGTGACACCTATTCGCACCGGCCCTGTATATACATACCACAAAGTTTACATTTTTTAACTTAACACTTTATTATTCCATTAGGAACATACTGCTAAACATTTTCAATAGAGTAAATATAGACTGGCATTTTGTTTATAAATTTTTAGAAATTTAAAAATATGATAGTTGCTAAATTTAATTATTAGAGTCTAACGGAAACAAGGCTATTTATTTAACGATACCTAACGGAACATTACTCTATATCTGCGATATTAAATAATAATTATAATAATAATAATACTAGCTATATTACAAATACAATAACAACCCTAATAAGCCAATCAATAATAACATTAATGATGATAATAATAACAGTTATAGTAAACAGTATGATAATATTAACAACATGATTATTAACAAAATTAAAAAAAAAAAATTTTGTATTTAATAATAAGAGTAACAATACGCCTTAATTGAATGTACAGATAAATTTAAGAAACTTTTTCTAAACTTTGGGAGATTAGATAATAAAGACTTATTTTTATACGCATTTATAAATACACACACACACACACACACACACACACACACACACACACACACACACACACATATATATACACACACACACACACACACAGATATATATATATATATATATATATATATATATATATATAATATATATATATATATATATATATATATATATATATATATATATATATATATATATATATATATATATATATATATATATATATATATATATATTATGTTAGTGTATTCTACAAATAGAGTGCTCAATGTTCTTATAGAACAGAGCAATAATAAATAGCAAAAACACTTATCTAATTTTTATTTTCTTCTACAGCGTATTTCTCCAATAGTAGGATCATCAGGAAGAATGTCTTAACATCAAAAAATTCAAATTATAGAAAAATTATTTCACAAAAAGTTGGGAATTAATATAATTAATTATGTAATAACTGTAGTATTTTTTGCAACCAAGAAGTTGCATTAACTACATTAGATAATTAAAAAAATCATAAAAAGAATTCTTTAGAATAAGGATAATTTTATACTGGTCATTTGTTTTTATTATTATTTAAAAGGAACTTATTTTTATGTCTGCATTTAGAAATTAATTCAGATTTTTTATTCAGTAAATTTTCTTGATCTAAATGAGTAATAATTTCAAAATTTTCTTGTAAACATAGTATACATTTTTTGGAAATGTTATTATAGGCAGGCGCAGTTTTTAGAATAGACCAGTTCAATTTAAAATTAATATTTTTTTCTGTTTCGTATTTTGTTTTAATGTTTACTCATATTTTTTTCTGAATCATACATAGTATAAGTATTTATAAGGGATTTGTTGTTATGTCCTAAGTGTAGTACAGAGCATTTATCAATATTAAATATCATTCTCTATTTTTGCAACCATGCAACAAGAAGGTCAAGAGAATGGAAGATTTTGGTATCATCAACAAAAAGTGCAGCTTTTGATTTGATTATTTCAAGGATATCATTGATATACTATAAATAGTAACACTGAAAGGATGGAGCCTTCAGACTCAGTCCTTTTTATAGTTACTTAAGCCCAGTATAAGTAACTCTAGAAGGACCTTAAACCCAGTTTGAATAATTGCCATTTACAACAACTCTTTGTCTAAGGCTTTCCAGAAAGTTTGTATTGATCTATTTATACTATAAGCTAAAGGTTTGAATAAGAAATTTGTGTGGAACCTTGTCAATCGCTCTCTCAAAAACAAGATAAATGGTATCAATTAAAATATTGTAATGATAGTGTCCAATAATCAATTATATTTAAAAGGTCACTTAAACAGGAATAACGTGGATGAATCCATGTTGGCACAGACTTAAGAAGATTTTGTTAATTAGGTGTGTCATAATATGTTTTTGTATACAATTTTGATATAAAAGTTGTACAAAAAGTTTGTATAAAAGTTTTTATTGAGATTATACTGATAAGTCTTTAATTAATTACTTTTGAACTGCTTTTTTTAATGTGTGAAATTGTCGCATCTTTCTTAATTGTAGTATTGAACAACATTTTATTCATTACTTGAGAGTCAATCTATATTAAGCATTTTATTTTTTTTAAAGTAAGATTTTGGTATATTTTTGTTGGCATTAGTTTTAAGTTTATTGAAAAAGATACTTTGTAGTTAATCTGAGTTGGATGTTGGATAGAGGTTAATATTTACGAGGTCTTCATTAATTTTATCATAGTTTCTTTTTGTGGATAAATGTTTTGTATAATTTAGTGTTAAATTTTCACTAGATTCAATTGATAGAGTAAAGTATAGTAATTTATTATGATATTCACCTATAGATCTTAGATTTGTTAAAAAGGAAATCTTGTTTTTATCAAATGTAAATATGAGGTCAATTGTAGATGGCTTTGGTTTTTGTCTAATGTGTGTTGCTTCTGTAATATGTTGGGTTAAAATATAATTGCAGAGATTTTTGATAAATTTATTTGATTTAGAAACATTTAAAATAGGTTGTTTTGGATTATGCCAGCTGATATCAGGATAGTAAAATCTCAAATAATAAGAATGTTTGGATATTTGTCAGAAAGTTTAGCAATGTGCTGATTTATGCAGTTAGTGTTTTCATTGTTACAGTTTTTTGATCTGTTGTATAAGCCTAATATCAACTTGAAAGTTTTTGGCATAGTTTCACAACTTCAACAAATTATATGTAACACACTAAAGATGAAATGAGTGTTTTATGTATAATTATTGCTGTGGTGTAGTTTCTGTTATAAAATAATTCTGTTATAAAAATAATTTAGGGTTCTAATATATCTATTAAAATACATACATGTGCTTTAGTATGATAAACTACTTATAAGTATTAATTTACCAAGTCAAATCTGATTGGTGAGTAAGTTAATAAGTATTTTATTTAGTTAATTACTGATGGCTAAGTAGTTTACTATAATTACTATAATCTGTGAAAAAAATTAGGAACTGAGTAGTAGTTTACCAAGTAATTTTGCTTGATTCAATCACTAAGTAATGTGTATAACCATTACCAATTGTAATAACAATTAATAATTAGTTAAATCAAGTATTGGTCAAGAATATGGCAATTTAAAACATTGTTGTAGGGCTTATTTATTTTTTTATTGTTTTTTGACATAAAATAACATTGTATTAATAGTGTTATTTTTCAAAAAGAGCAAATTATATAATGTATCAGTGTTTTCAATTGTGTTTCATTACTGATTAGGGCTTGTGTTTCATATTATATTATTTTCAGATGAATTTTAGCATTGTCGTTAAAAAACTTCCCAAAATACATTTTTTAACAAAAATTGCTTTAAATTTGAAATATTTAATTTATATAGTTGTTCTTTAATTAAATCTGTTTTAGATTATATTTATAATCATTGCTTTTTTCCACTTTAAATAGTAAAATAGTAAATTGATAATGCTGCAGCCAATTAAATACAGCCGTGGTTTTCTTCAAATTATTGATCAGCTAAGGCTACCATTGGAAGTTGTTTACATTGACATTGTTTCAGTGGAAGATGGTTATTATGCTATTAAGGACATGAAAGTCAGAGGTCATTTTTAATATCTCTTTTAATTATTTAATTGTTTACCATTTTATCTAATATGACTTGAATAATAATATAATAAATAAATTTATTAACTTAATATATATATATATATATATATATATATATATATATATATATATATATATATATATATATATATATATATATATATATATATATATATATATATATATATATATATATATATATATATATTAGGGTGGATCGATTTTTAAAATTTTTGAAATTTGATTTGTCTGAGCTGCGAATCGATGTCTTTTGGTGAAAAAAGAACCTTACTTTTTTTTTTTTTAATTTAAATGAGTTTTAGAGGTTCCTCTTTGGATTCTAAATTTATGACGGATCCTAATATTGTTGAAATTTTTGTTCTTCTGAACTATATCAACCTGGTACTCAAAAGAAGCAGAATAATAAGCTTTTTTTGAATATATAATATTTGTTTTAATTTTGAGAATATTTTATCTGACATTACTATAATCACAAATAGAGAGTGGTGCTTCATCAAAATTAATTTAAATATATCAGACCCTTCAGCTTGGCCTGTTAAAATCAAAAAACAGCAGATGTTTTTGGTAGAGAAGTCATCAAAAGCATTAAAGATATCCATTGTAAAAGAAAATCCTAAGGGAGATGTTTCAATGGCATTTTTTTAATTGAAAAATAAAAAATGGTAAAAAGGAATTAAGACAGTGCCGGATCAAGATGGGGGTATAGCCATTTAGTAGGCGCAACATCGATTTAGTGAAAATAGTAGTGTTAAAAACACTAAAATAGTCAGAATTCTTTTATTACATTAAATAATTTATATAAAACCTTAGCTGCATCAACAAAGCAATGGGCTAATTAAGTTTGATATTAAAAAGTTAAACTGAAGACACCAAGCAATACTTAATGGAAATACCCATTACTGTTTATTGTGAACAATTTTTTCAAAACTAAGCTTAATTGAAAATTATCTAGGGTTTACAATTTCCGTCAGGGTTAGCAATGTTGTCAATAAAAAATGCTACCACAAGAACAATTGATTACAATTTTAAAAGGATGAATTTGCAAGCAAAAGGGCTAGGAAAATTGTTTTATAATTTCTTTGTATAACTTTTTTTTTAAATAAAACTCAATAAAAATGAATTCCATAAATTAAAATTTTTTTTTACTTGGGCCCTAAAAAGTTACAGCACGGCTCTGATGATGATGATCATATTGATCATGATGTTTATATATAAATTTACATGCATTTTTTGTTAACTTACGTCATTCTGTTGAAATTAAAGTGCAAATTTCTACAAAAAATGAATAGTGATTTGTGAATGAGACTTCTTTATATAAAACGTTTACAGCAAACATTTAATGAAATTAAATAAAGTTTTATTTATATATATATATATAAGTTTATTAAAAATATTAAATTGTGTAATAAGTACAAATTAATTATGCAAAACATTGTTAGTTTAATTTTGTAAAAGCATTTGCTAAAAACAATATGTATAATAATAAAAGTTTTTTATTTAATTTCGCAAAAAATATTTCTAAAAACGTTGTGTTTTGAACATAATAGTTTGCTTATTGTTAAAAACAAAATAATCACTATTCAAATATTTTTAATTGTGTTTTGGCAGTCAAAGTAAAACATTTAAAAAAACTCGAATTCTAAATAATAATCTATGTCATTCAGTAAATTAGAGCTTTAGAAATGTTTTCGGCCAAAATTTAACTAAATTTAAAAAACTTTTATTATTAAAATTATAACTTATATTATTTATAACTTAGTTAAAATTATAAGTTTATTTGATAAAAAGAAAATTTTAAGTTTGTTAAAACGTTTGCTAGAAAAGTTATAAAGGTTCTATTAGCATTAGCAACGAAAAAACATTAAATATGTTTTAACGTGAAGAAATCGTTATTTCATTGTTTTATTTCAATTGTGTGAAACACCCAAATTCAAAAATAAAAGATCGCTCTCGATAACTTAATGACAAGCGCGCATAATCACGGTCGCTAAAAATATATTTGAGTTTAACAGGTGCGAAACATCACGTTGGACAATTTTTCTCATGCCAAAGCCTGATATATATATATATATATATATATATATATATATATATATATATATATATATATATATATATATATATGTATATATACATATATATATATCAAGCCTTCCTGGGAAGCGTGTACTGTTACACACCTTGTACATACATGCTTTAAGTGATTTTTTTAGACAGTTTGTCCACGTTTTTATACAGTAAGCATTTTAAGAATTTGCAGCAAGATAAAGCTATAATAAACTACAGAATAAATCAGCAATACTCAATGAAAAGAGCCGAAGACTATACGAAATAGAAAATCTAAATAAAATAAGCTAAAAAAAATTTAATAAAAAACAAAAATTGTTGCTGAAAAAATAATGTACCTAAATACTTACTGTTTTTGTTTTCTTATTTTTAAAGCATTTGTTATTTTCCACTACTAAATTGATACAAGTCGAGGAAAAAGGTAGAAAAGAATATAACCAAAGTGAAAATATTTTTTGATATACAATTTTTGCGACTTTTTAGTCAGTATGTAAAGGAAATATTTAAATTGCGCTATAAGCGTGGACAATTTTTAAATTTGTTTTTCAAATAAAGTGAAAAAACTAATTGCTATTTATTTGTAAAGAAAGTTTTTTTTTAACAAGTTTTTTATGTAAAAAGATGAAACAATGTTGCAAAATTTTGTGGGCTAGTACATTTTTAATTTACTGAACTTTTTTAACAAAATTTTCAGGAGCCTATTTTAAAAATTTTTTTAAGTTTTTAAATACATTTTTTTAAACAGAGCAATCGTTATGTTCATTATCTCTACTGATTCGTATTAACATTGGAAATTGGGCAATATAAAAGAAATAACTTCAGACATGCATCAAATGCAGTAAATACATTTATTAAAGAAACTAGGTTATTCTTTTATTTAACTTATTCCATCATTAACAAAATTTGTTAATCAAATAATATTGTTACAAATAAATAACAATTTATTTTTGTTATTTCCCTGTTATATAAGTATTGAAAAAAAACGTCAAATATAGCAAAAACTTTTTTAAAAGGGAAAAGACATTAAAACAAATAAACATAATAAACGATTAAACATTAGAAAAAAAATTAACAAAATTTCTTATAGTTCCAGCATACATAGCAAATTAGTTTCTTAATTATATGGACTAATAAAAATCATGAATAAATTGCATATCAAAACTTTCAATTGTTGTTACATCGTTATAAAAGATATTTATTTCAACAACGACTCTAAAAAAAGAAAACAAAAGTTGTATAAAATTTTATTTTTATTTCCTTTTTTTTTTATTTATTAAATTTTCTAATTTATTTAATTAAACTTGATATTTCATTACAATTTTGTTTCCTTTTTTAAGGATTTTTTTTTCCCAAGTTTATAAGTTTAGCTTTTCGCCGCGAATTATTGAAGGGCTTTATAAGTTAAAAGATGCAAACTGCTGCGGTCAGTTAGTCTAAAAAATTACTTTAAGCGTGGATGTACAAGAAAATCATTTCCAGAAGTGCAGAACACCAAAAAGCTTGTAAAAATCAAAAATGGTTGAGTTCAGGAGCCACGGAACATTCTAGAACATGCTGTGGTAACTTTGATTAGATAAATCCTAAGACCTTGGCAGTCATTCCAGAATACAGGATTCGGAAAATTAAAGAATCCTTGGAGATTAACAAAGCAAGAGTTTGATATAAGATAGGTATTGGGCAAGGTGTTCTTAATCGAGATGACAGGGATAAAGTTAAAACGAAAACTTAGGACCCATTTTGACAAAAATGTAACTAATTTCATTATTATATTATTTAATTGGTTTTTATATTTGACGCTTTTTAATGACTTCTTTTTAAACGGTTTGTTATATATTATTATGAAACTTTTTTTATTATTACTTGATGATGCTGATTATTAGTTATTATTTTTTTAAACAATAATTAATAATATGTAATTTAAGGATTATAAATAAAAAAAGAGGCAAGACAAAAATTATTATTACTAAAGGTCCGAAAAACTTTCGCGGTAATTTAAAAATCAACCAATTAAAAACTATGCTTAAGCTATTTGCGCATTGTATAAAACTTTGTAGAAAAAAACAACCAATAAAAAAGTATGCTAAAGCTACTTGCGCATTATATTAAACATTAAAATAGATTTTTATTTAGGGGGAAAGTTTATGGAATTATTTGTTTAAAAATTTAAAAGTTTTAAATGAAAATTTAATTATTTAATAAGAAAAAAAATTATAAAGTATATTTTTTTAAAAAATGTTATTAGAGTTACTTTTTTTTTGTTTTAAAGTAACTATTAAAAAGTTTAAATTAGTTTTTATATATTAACTCTTTCGTCTTTTAATTTTATATTCGCTAAAGTGTTACAAGCGTTAAATTTATAAGAAAATATTGAATGAGATTTAAATAACATATAAAAGTATTTTATATCTGAATTAACAATTTCTTTTATTTAAAATATTCGATCACTGTTAAAGTACTTTAGATTGTTGTGATTAGTGCTTATTTTTTAATATTTATATCGTACTTTATCGTGCTTTATTTTTCTAGTTTTATCTGATGTTTTATAACATAAATTAAAATATTAAAGTTTAAATTATAATCTTTAATAATAATACAAATAATAGTGATAATATGGTTTTACATGATCATAATAGACGTAAATATTTTTTATTAAATGATATCTATTGGGCTTAGTGATAAAACAGTTTTAGGGTTTTTAAAAAGCTAAAATTTAAAAGACCAGAAGCATTTCCAGATATCGCAATTCGCGATCACTTAATTCGAGCCCTATATAAATATATATATATATATATATATATATATATATATATATATATATATATATATATATATATATATATATATACACAGGGTGTTAACCAGGAATAAATTTGATACAGCGTTTTGATGAAATTGGGAATTGGTCAA